GGGTATAGGGGGTTTGGGGTTTGGGGGGTTTAGGGTTTGGGATTTTCAGGCATTCAAGAGTTTTTGTAGGGTTCTACAAGGGCTTGAGACGGGGTTTGGTACCGCTCTGAAGGGATTTTGGATGGTTTGAGGTTTTGTTGAGGTTCAAACGGTGGCTTACAGGGCTTAGGAGTTTGGGGTTTAATTATGCAGGCTTTCAAGGATGGGGGGGGGGGTGTCGCACATTGAAGGATTCATACTTCGAGCTTTTCTTTGCCCCAACGATCCCGGTATTTGTGTCTTTGTTAGGGTTCTGTTTCTGAAAAGTGTACGTCGGATTGGGATTTTCGGGTCTCTGGGGTTTCCTTGGTCAAGGTTTTAAGCGCTTAGGCTCGAGGCCATTAATCAATCCTAAACCCTGTGCAAGGTGCTGTATTGTGGGTGTAATATAGGGGTCTTAATTATTAGAAAAAAGGCTTGGAGTATAGTATACTATACTTACACTTAAGGACCCCCCTAAAAAAATAAAAAACACAAAAGAACAAAACTAAACCCTAAACCCAACAACCCTAAACCCCACAACCCTAAACCCCTAAACCCTAAACCCCTACACCCTAAACCCTAAATGAAGGCCCCCCAAACAGATCTGGGGCTCGGGGTCTCATCGGAGGATGAAGCGGTCCCCTAAACCACGGTTTAGGGTCTAGGGTTTAGGGTTTAACCCTACCTTAACACCTTTGTAACCTACCTTCTTCAAGGGTTTAGGGGTTTAGGGTTTATGGGGTTAGGGGTTTAGGGTTTAGGGAACCCTGATGGCATAGGGGTTCATACTCTTACTTCCCCAATAAGGCAGGGAAATAAAAGCCTAAACTTTCAGATTACTACTATACATTCTACGAACCCCAAAAGTTCAAACGTTGGGTACTGGGGAACTAAGATAGAAAGGAGTCACAACAAGAAGCCCTAAACAGCCTAAACCCCTGAACCTCAAACCCCTAAACCCAAAGTCCCTTCGATGTCTCAGGGAACTCGGCGAACTCCTGGGCATCGTTCTCTTCGAGATCTTGGGTCAGCAAGGTCTTTCCGGTGGATCGGAACCATGGCTTGAAATCAGCTGTGATCTTCTCAGGAGCACGGCCCACAACTATCCAGGATAGGGTGCAGGCTGCCTCCTCGAGGCACTCGTCCACGAGGACCTTGGCATCACTCATCTCCACCTTGTCCCAGCACGGCTCGGGCACACTGAAGTCCGCACGAAGCTGCTCGAAATGGCTTCGATGCACCGCCCAAAGCCCCTGGGCAATCGATGGATTGCCTCTGAAGTAAGCCTTCAGCTTTCCGAAATGGTGTTCTGCGACTTTCTCCTGGAAGGAGCTGCTGCGGAGTGAATCGCGGCCTTTCTCCCCCGGATACAAAGTGGCCAGGATACCCAGGTAGCACAGACGGAGAACATTTCTCAGGGTTTTCGGACATGGTGCCTTGAATGGAAAGAAGTAGTTATAAGGAGCCCTAAACGAGCAGGTTATTTGGGGTCCGGGTAAGCCCTAAACCCCTGAACGCATGATTTACACATAGAGCCCGGAGGCCCTGAAGGACATGGTGCTTCGCCAACAGGCCAGGGAAATAAAAGGTCAAACTTTCAGATTACCCTAAACCCTAAACCCTAAAACCTAAACCCTAAACCGTGAACCCTAAACCCTAAACCCTAAACCGTAAACCCTAAAATGAGGGTTGGGCATTGGGGAACTAAGCTTAAGAAGGGCCCGATTTGTAGTCCGTATGTTTCCGCCTGACTGAATCAGGCCCTAGCCTCCAGTGCATAGCCATTTTAAGCATGCTTTAAGCCCCAATATAGGGTTTAGGGTTTAGGTATAATTACTTACCTTCGTAGACTAGATTCGTAGAATAGATTCGTAGAATAGATTCGTAGAGTAGATTCGTAGAGTAGAATAGTGCCGCAGAAAGGGAGTTTGCATTCCTGTCTGAGATGTATGTGGGCTAATCCATCTTGAACCCTAAACCCTAAACCCCAAGAGGCCCCTGAACAACAGGGGGTTTGATACGACTGCGACACCTACAGCAAGGGTACTTTTGGTGCTGAGCTCGCTGCGCGTCGATCTCAGTCTCCGGGTGGCCCGCCATGAATTGGTGGATCTGCGCCAGGTAGGCGTTTCGGTGAAGCGGGTTAGAGTCAGTAGTTAGAGGTTCCTGAAACCCTGGACAATGAACATCTTTACCCCAAATGTAGGGGCCTTAATCATTAGAATAGGGTTTTGGGGGTTCCTTATTGTAATTACAGTTTTATGGGCCCCAAACCCTACTGTAAGTACTAAGGCCCCTACATAAAACCACTAAGCCCTAAAGCCCGAAACCCCTCCACCCCAAGCTTCGCTTTCTGGAGGCTGCAAGGCTTCAAACTTCGAAAACCTGTACAGGGTTTAGGGTTTGGGGTTCAGGCATTTAGGGTTTAGGGGCTTAGGGGTTTAGGGTATAGGGTATAGGGTGTTGGGTTTAGGGTTTACTGTGTGTCTACATCCTCCAGTACCCTCTCTGCACTAGACCAACCCCTCACTGCTAACCTCTAAGCCTGAATTGGGTTTAGGGTTTAGGGTTTAAGATTTGGGGTTTGGGGGTTTAGGAATTTAGGGAATCCTCCAAAGCAATAACGTCCCCAAGTCGCAAATTAATGCTGATGCAAGTGGTATTGGCGGTGGCAAAGGTGGTGCTTCTAGTGCTGCTGGTGCTAGTCGTTGTTGCCCTCGTGGTCGGCGTCATGGCAGTGGCAGTGATAAAGAAAGCGGCACGGGTTGTGGTGGTGGTAGTGTTGAATGTAGGAGCGGTGGTAACAGCTCTCGGGGTCGCAGTAAACTTGACACCTTATAAACACAGCAATAAAAAGGGCCCAATCTTAGTTAAGGAGTATAGCTTCATTCATAATCTGAAGCCCCTTATAATTCTTACTTCCCCCAACAAGCCAGGGAAATGAAAGGTTAAACTGGTTAGTACAAAATATATAAGAACCCGAAAAGTTTAAAGGTTGGGTATTGGGGAACTAACATACAAAGAAGTCATGATAAGGAGCCCTAAACAGGCAGGTTATTTGGGGTCCGGGTAACCCTAAACCCCTGAACCCCTAAACCCAAAGCACCTAAACCCTAAACCCTAAAGCCCTAAAAACAAACCCTAAACCCTAAATCCTGCAACTCTAAATCCTGAGTGAGCTTATGTTATATTCCGCAATGAACTGACATGAAAGCCCTCTGAGTCGGTCCGTCTTGCTACGAGCCTGGGAGCTAGCAACGGTTTAGGGTTTAGGGTTTAGGGTTTAGGGTTTGAAACCCCAAACCCGAAACTTAGGGTTCAGCGTTTAGGGTTTTTCAGGGATTTAGGGCTTGGGGTTTCGGGTTTCTTTTACGTGCAATAGTGCCCCGAGGGTTTAGGGTTTAGGGTAAATGAAATAGCTCCCCCGAGGGTTTAAGGTTTAGCAATAGCGCCCCTACGGTTTAGGGTTTAGGCTTTTTTTGCCCTGAACCCTAAACCCTAAACCCTAAACCGAAGTGCAACAGCGCCCCGAGGGTTTAGGGTTTAGGGTTCTAAACCCAAACCTGAACCTTCGACTCGACGCAAAGCTTCGCCCACCTCGCGATAGCAGTATAATTAAGCAGGCAACTAATCTAAGGTACTACAAACCTTGAAGCCAGGCTACAGGCAATAGAAGCTGAACCTCTTCTGATTCTGCAAACCGAAATGTTCACCCTAAGCCCTAGAACCTAAACCCGAAACCCTAAACCCGACATCCTAAACCCTAA